AGGGAATATGAGGAGGTTGCGAGTTCATTCTTGCTTCGCTCAAATATTTTATTTATTTATTTATTTATTTATTTATTTATTTTGGTGGAACCGGGGATTGAACTCAGGCCCTTGCGCTTGCCAGGCAAGTGCTTATTCCACTGAGCCATCTCCCCGGCCCCTGCTCAATTGTTTTAGAGGGGATTTTCAGAATAATAATTTTAAGTTGTGATGAAGCCCCACATAAGCTTGAATTGTTCCTCATCGGTGCTTGCCTGCTTCCTCTCTACTGCTAAGTGCTTATTATTACTTATCTTCTGAAAGGTATGGCTTCCGGAAGCCGCCATATGTGGAGCTGAAAGCTCGGCCAAAACTCGGAGAGAGAGAGGTGACATTAGTTCACGTGACAGACTGGATAGAGAAGAAACTGGAGCAAGAGTTTCAGGTGAGCCTGCAGTGGTAGCTCATGTTTCACACTGAGTATAAAAAGCTCAGGCTGGACGGGGGTCCTGAGCGCCACCTGGCTCAGGATGCTCTTGAGAGTCCAGTGGAAACCACTCACTCTCGCCCCAGGAGGGACACACATGCTCAGACACTGGGGTAAAAGGTCAGGTGAGGACTCGTGGGGCTGAGGCAGGAGGCTCCTTGTGAATTAGAGGCCAGCCTGAGCTGCAGAGCAAAACCTGGTTTGAAAAATACAAAAACTAAGTCAGGTATTATTTCAGAAACCCTGAAGTTTAGCCAGAATATCACTAAATAATCTTCAGAGGAAACCCAGATGTGGGGTAAGGAGCAAAATTAGAATCTCACAGCAGTCGATCTGCTGGGCCTTCCTGGCTTTGTTTTGAGCCCCGTGAAATTTAGAATTGGTTTGCTAAGCGGCACCCAGCCTATGCCCAAGGAAGTGGCTTCCTATCCTTATGTCATCTTCTTGCTCAGTTTTTTTTTTTTTTTTGAGGAACCAGGACTAGAACTCAGGCCCTTGTGCTTGCCAGGCAAGCACGTCTTCTACTGAGCTAGCTCCCTGCTTCTTGCCGTTTCTTCAGCTCACATGGAAGCGCCTCTGTACTCCAGCAGCCAAGGACCTCGGGCAGGAGGCACACCTTCCAGGGCTCACAGCGGTACCAGCAGCCCCCTTGGCCCGTGCCACAGCGCGCCCGCCACCGCCACCCTAGTGCTTCACCATAAGTTGGGCCTCCCCAAATCCGTCTAGTGGTCTTGCAGCTTCCTAACCCAGGTCTCATTCTCAGGCCTGCTTTGTGTGAATTGTTGGTGGGCTTTAGCTTTTTAAGAAACCGCCTTGTTGTCTTGCCAGACACGGTGGCAGACATCTGTAACCCCAGCACACGGAAGCTGGAGGATCACTGCAAGTTTGAGGCCAGCCTGGGCTACAGAGTGAGCTCAAGACCACCTGAACTATATAACAAGACAGTCTTAAAAACACAGGGGCCGGGGAGATAGCTCAGGAGAATATGCACTTGCCTGGCAAGCACAAGGGACCGAGTTCAATCCCAGGTTCCGCAAAAAATAAAATCAAAAACACCCTTACCCTTTCCCCTCAGATTTACAAGCATAAAATTCTCTTGGAATGTGTTCTGCACATAATTTGAAAATACAAATTAAAAGCAGTTTCTTAGTGTTGTTCATCATTTATGAGTAACTTTATATGTGTGCAAAGTCAAAGGCCTCTGCCTCAGAACTGATAATTATGTTCTTGTATTTGTGCACTGGTGAGGCCTTAACTTTTTAAATTACAGTGGAGGAATGTGTAAAAATTTCCATACATATTTTTAAACATGTCTGTAAAGTCTAAACTATAAACCAACAGTGTGTTCTTCAATCTCCCTGCAGAAAGTTTTCGTCATGCCAAACATGGACGATATTTACATCCCCATAATGCACTCAGCTATGGACCCTCGCTCCACTTCCTGCCTCCTGAAGGAGCCCCCTCTGGAGGCCCCTGATCCTCTGTAGCGGGTGGAGGAGGAGGGTCTGTCTTGAGACGCCCTCCGCATCCAGGTTCCTGGCTGCAGTCTGCACCGCGGCACTGGCTCCCAAGACTGCTTCTGCCTCTGCCTGCCGGTGCCCATTCCACTGTGAGGTGTCATTCCCTACATCTAGTGACAGGCATTTGGAGTGCCTGCCACAAAGCCTGGCCTCGGCAAAGGAGACTGGACTGTCATCCCAGTGGGCCCAGAAGTTATGCGACTCACATTGTGGCTGCTTAAAGTCTACCAGCTTCGGAGCTGAATTTTTGTGGCAGCAAAAAGCACGTTGAGAGGGAAGCTGTGCAGCGGACCGGAAGCCTCCCCTCCCCATCCAAAGCCTTGCCTCAGGCTCACTCTACACGAGTGTAGTCCTCCGATCTCCAGGGTGTCAGCCTGGCAACGTGTGGGAAGTGGGATTTCGAGCCACTGCAGTGGTGGGAGAGGCGTCGCAAATCACTGTTACTAACTTGTGCATTTTAGAAGCAAGTTGCCATAAAACACAACTTTCGCTGGGGCGGAGGCACTGGAATTTATGTGAACCTTAGGCAAAGCCACGGGATCAAACCATCCCAAGCCTTTTGCCAGTGAGGTAGTCTTCTTGCCTCTAATCCTGTTTCCTGAGATACAAGCATGTGACAATGACAGATATTGCACACAAGGGCCGACTGTTCCTCCTTAATGCAGATGGGATGGGCCCAAACACCCAGAGTTCCTGTGGCTGCCGGAAGCTCCCCAGGAAGCTCCCCAGAGGGAACGCTGTTTAGGCCTGCGGGAAAGCTCTGTGGGCGGGTCTTCCTGATGGCCAAACAACACTCCCCTGGTCTCCGCTGGAGCGAGTTTGCGTCCCACCAGACACTACATCGCAGAACACATGACCTTCCTTTCATGTTGCCAACTTCATTTTGTGCATTTGTGTCAGAAGGTTTAGTTTACAAGTTTGGGACTCGAAATTTGCTTTGAAAAGTAAATACAATTTGTTTAAAGTTGTATTGAACATCAAAATTACCTTGGGTAACGTTTGATATAACTTACATCTGTGGACTAAGCGAATAGTGATTTTTCTTTAAAACAGCACCTTGCCTGACTTTAAAGAAATTAATATATTAAAGATATATTTGAGCCCTTATTTTAATTGCACCATTAAAACATTTGACTCAAATTACCTGGCCATTGCCACCGGTGTACTGTTCTAACTCCTCACTGTGTGGGCTCCGTGGCCTGGAGTCGCACGTCTTATCACTGGTCTTCACTGTGCAGTAACTAAAGGCAGACGACTAGCCGCCGCTGCGTAATCACACGACTGCACCCTGTTGCACTTAATTGGTAGTGAGGGGGATGTAGAACCGCCTGCATTGTTTCACAAAATAAATTATCTCCTGTCAAGTACTAGATAAGCATCCAAGTTATTTCTCCAAAGTCCCTGTAGAGGAAGGAATAGTGAATGCACAGCGCTTGGGCACTCCCGGGCAGCAAGCACCTGCGTGCTCAGAGCCCAGTCCTGAGTGTACAATGACCAACTTCCCACCAATCGGCCTGTACTTGGCCGCTGTGCAGTGCACCTTCCGCTCAGCCACAACTGTTCAGTGAGAAGAGCAGACACTGGGTAAGGCCAGGCCGGTCTGCAGGCCCAGGAGAATTAGGAGCCTGGAGGGCCAGCCCCACCTCAAAAACAAGGTAAAAATGATGGGGGCCGCGGGGACAGCTCTGAGCGCCTGCCCAGGCTGGCACAAGGACCCAGGTATCAAAGTTAATGCGCCGATTTTGGGAAAGGTTAAAGCAAAAGTGGGAGAACAAGAAACGAGATTGACAAGCTGGCTTGCGGGTGAAGTAGGGCAGCTTTTGTTTTCGGGGCGATTCACTCTTCTCCAAAGCTTTAGCTATCCCGTGGCATGCAAGAGTGACTCTTGGTCGTCTGTGACCTGTAGTAGCACAGCGCCGCCCACGGTTCTAGGTGGCATCCCATTAGCTCCCGGGGGCAAGGCAGCCCTGCTCCCCTTGAGATAGGTACTGCTTCCCCTCTCAGCCTGCGTCTCGAGGACCAAGTTCAGATTTGTTCATCGAGATAGTTGTGCCCCGGCGCTGAAGCCCACACCCGTATCTGCGGGAATCATTTTAAGCCGGGCATTTGGTAGGCGCCCTGCCCCTACCGCGAAACCCCGCACAAGCCCACGTTAGGAGCTTTGACCAGCTGCAGTGTGAAGACGTACAAAAAACCCCACATGCTCACACCACCCTGGAAATTAGAGGTTGAGCTAAGCGGACAACTCGTTTCTCCCAAGTTCACTTGTAGGACTTTTACCAATCAACTGGTCGTACTACATTTTAACCAGAATTTAAACCCCTACAGCTTCAGCCCCAAACCTGTTCCCGCAACAAATCCAGCTGCTTTTATCTCTCCGCCTAGACACTTCACACTGCGCCTAACAAGCGCGCCTCGCACACCTCGGCCAGACGGCCGCCGCAGCCGGGCAGGCTGCTCGAGGTGCAGCAGCGGGCGCGCAGGCAGGGCACGCGCCCCCAACCCGCTGCACCCTTAATCCCGGGAAAGGTGGAGGTTCGCCCCGGCAGCCGGGCGCTGCCGCGGCTGTGTTGCTCGCGGTTAAAAGGGCCGTCGGCGGAGGGCAGGCGGCCCCAGTTATGCGCGAGCGCGTTCTCTGGCGCTGCAGCTTGACCCCCGGCGCCACACACAGGCGCGACGGGGGCCCAAAGGCAGCGCGTCACCGACCACAGGACACTGAGCTGGAGACCAAATCACTTTATTGGGGGGCTTTGACTGGGGAGAAGCCGCTTCACACGAGATCTGACGTTCCCGGCACGGCTGGATCTGCAAAAACGACGGCCATAGGTGAGCAACAGCGGACCTCCCGGCCCGTCTCCTCCCCCATCCAACCCGCCAACCGGCTCAGACTCCAGTTCGCATCACTCTCGTCAGCAGTCTAACACGTGCTTTAATTGGAATGTCATCACCGCCAGTCGGTCGTCTCCAGCCCGCTCGCGGGCCAGCCCAGCCACACAACTCAGCAAAGTAACACCGCTCACCTCTGCGGGTCCGCCGTGGTCAAGAGACAGCGAAAAGAGCGTGAATTGTACTTAAAGGAAGATAACGGAAGTAGTAGGGCGGGCTTTACTGCTATCAACCAATAGCAAGCCAAATTTCTGAGCGTGCGCTGTAAAAAATGATCTAATGATTGGCGGTGCTCGCTAAATCCTCCAAAGTATAGAGTGGTCACACTCGGACCATAGAGATGGGAGGCTAGATGCCAACACTTTTTTTTTTTAATGAAAGGGGCGGGACTTCTGTATCTTAATTGCCGCGTACTTGTTGATCATTGACTTGGAATTGGTGCATCTCTCTACGGTACACAGAAGAAAACTTTGGAAACGAGATAGAGCCTAATTTGTCGGACATTTTGCCACCAGCTAGACTAGGATCTGAGGATGTAAAGGTAAACAAGACTGTTCAGAAATTGGGAAGAGAAAAAGTATGAACAGCTGGAAAAGGAGATGAAACAAAGCACTAACAGCTCCTTTCCATAGACCAGCAGAAATGCACAGTACAGCTGTCCAGACCATCCTGCTTACATACCTAGATACATCTCTTCCTCCCCCTCCTCCTGTCCTCCTCCTCAACTCAGTAACTCTTGCCTTTTCAATAAGTTCATTCCCTTTTTCCAATATCTGTTGTACCCTTCAGATTCCATTTTCTCTTTCAGGTTCTCACATTAAGGAGACAATACGATGTTTGCACATGCAGGTCTGATGTATTTCACTGAAGAGTATGTTCTCTAGTTGCATGCCTTTACTGACAAAAGACTCAAATTTATCCTGTTTAACAACTGAATAATACTCCATTGTGCAAAGATACCACATCTTCCTTATCCATTCTTCAGTTGATGGGCATCTGGGTTGTTTCCAGGATTTGGCTATGACAAATTGCTCTGCTATAAACATGGTGCACACGTCACTGTATACCCATTTCTTCTTCCAGTTTTACACGCATGTATCTGGGAATATGAATAACTGGTTGAAGACAACACTATGTATTACAACAAATACTGTGAAATTCATATTACTTTGTTAAGTGAAATTCTGTATCACTTGTAATTTTTTGTTTTAATTCTAATTTGTACTCGCTTTAAAAAATTAAGGGCCTGGGAGATGGCTCAGTAGAATAAGTGCTTCCCTGTCAAGTGCAAGGTCCTGAGTTCAATCCCTGGTACTGCAAAAAAAGACAGTAGCCTGATCTACCTCCAACCCAGAAATTGTGAGAATTGGCAAAGTTAATGTCAATTGTCTGGCACATGCTGAATGGCAAACCTTTGCGGGCTTCTTTTCTTTTGTCCTTTCCTTTCTTTTTTGGTATCAGAAATTGAACTCAAGGTCTCACATGTGCCAGGCTGGCGCCGCCACTGAGCTGCATGCCTGCCCAAGTGGCACCACTTTGTTTTAAAGGGCTGGGATGAGGTGGAAAGTCTGTGATTCCAGACTGTTATTTTAATAAATGTACAATTGAGTAGGTACAGCCTGCTGCGGAAGCCTAACGCCTGAGTGTGCCGAGCTTGTTTTGAGTCCTTCCCTGGATTTGCAGGCGGACAGGAGTTGGCTGCGAATAGCAGGGCCCCGCTCCCCAAGAGCTGACTTTAAACTGGAGAGGGGATGCTGCGGGACAGTCGCGATCCCCGGTTGTCATTACTGCCGTCCTGTGGTTTTCTTGCACCTTCTTTTGCTTTTCTTCTTAAGATAAACCTAGCTGGCCGTCTCCCCGCGTGGGAGCCCCGGGAGCCCCGGGAGGCGAGCGAGCGGCCGTCCCGCCGCGGATCCGCCTGTTCTGGATTGGCCCCGTCGCCGCTCTCGTGGAAGATGCAGCTTTGGCAAAGTCGATTTCTATTCGTACGAAATGCAGTAAATTATTTCTTCTGTGAGAGTCCCTTCACTTTTTGGAGAGCGGCACACCTGGCTTCTGTCGTCAAACGCGGACCTTCTCCGAAGAGTTCACCTTTCTACCTCCTGTTTCTTAGAAATGTGAGTGACGCGTGTCTGTTGTCTGGTTCCCTATACCTTTAAGCTCAAGCAACATGTATATCAGTATTGACTTTTTCTTTCTTAGATTTAGTAAGAAAAAAGAAAGAAAGAAAGTTCTTTAAAGAAAAGGAAGGGGCTAAACAACTTTTTCCCTAATACTTTCTTAAAGCTCAGGGGCTTGCTTTATCTATGAAAAAGTCGTAAAGAGCTCTCTGTAGCTTGTGTGAAGCAGCAGCCCGCCTTAAAGAAATACATTCTGGAGAAGAACTAGAACAGTGACGGGGAATATGCTTGCTTGGGCTGCGCTTGGTGCATTTTAACCAAAATGACCAGATGAGCCGGACGTGCTGGTGCGCGCCTCAATCCCAGCCCTGGAAGCTGAGGCAGGAGGATCGCTACTGTGGGATCAGCCTGGGCTACGAATAAGCTCCTGTCCTGCCTGGGATACATGGACCCTGTCTCAAAAAACAAAGATGGGGGGCCGGGGAGATGGCTCAGTAGAATAAGCACTTGCCTGGCAAGTGCCTGAGTTCAATCCCTGGTTCTGCAAAAAAAAAAAAAAAAAAAAAAAAGGTGTTCGTTAGATGATAGGACCTAAGAACTTTGTCACATGGTGTGCTGATGATCATTTACAAGTGAAAGTAAAGACGTTGCCACCCCCTCTCCCCCCAAGAAAGATAAACTTGCCTGACTGGCGATGCAGGTAGGGCAAGAGTTCTCCTTCCGTCCACAGCTTCACTCTCCAGTATGAAAAGGAAAGAAACTCACTTTTGTAACAAAGCATCTGAGCCTAAAAGGCCACAGATGAGTAATGTTTCTATTTTCATTAGTTTTTACAGGGTCTTTAAATTTTAAAACTTCCTCTTCCATCCAAAGCACAACATAATTATTTTGACGACTGTTTAGTATCTTGGAGATTAATTTTATTGCTGCTTTGACTTCTGTTATTTCAACATACTGCACATTGTGGCAGTGAAGTTTTCATTGTGACCTAAAGTAAACCAACTTCTGTAAATGTTCCACAGATTCTTGAACTGAAGATGTTTTCATGTATAAATATGATTTAAAATATGAATTCATAGCCATCACTAGGTTGTAAATACAGTGTCAAAATATTTCGTGCACTATGTACTTGAATGGAAGTGTGTTTTCTGTCCCTGACTTACAGGGATGAGCTTGTGCTTCAGATGCCAAAATCTGGGGAGGGTGCAGGGCAGGAAGAGTATTCTTGTCTTGTTTTGTCTTCTCTTGCCTTTTTGAGATCCGGTCTTGCTATGCAGTCTGGTTGGCCTCTAGCTCACTTCCCAAGCTGGCCTTGAGCTGGCAGTGACCCTCCTGCCACAGCCCCCCGCGTGCTGCAATTACGGGCGGGCGCCACCCTGCCCGGCTGAAATAGGACTTGATCTATTATGTTTGGTTCGTTGCTTGGTTTTTGGAGACAGGGCCTCCCTCTGCAGTTGAGGCTGGCCTTGAGTTTCCTGTGTGGCCCAGGCTGGCCTCAACTTAGAAGCAATCCTGCTTCAGCCTCCAAACGCTGGGATGACAGCTACACACCACCACTCCTAGCTCCAGAAGTTGGAGTTTTTCTTCGTGCGTGTGTGTGCGTGTGTGTTAAAGGTTTTACTGGTACTTGGTTGTTGTATTTTAGTGCAGGGTTTATAGGTTTTACAGGGTCTCACTACACAGATCAAACTTGTAGTGATTCTCCTGTTCCCAGCCTCCCAAGCACCAGGATTAGAGGTGCACACCAGCATGCCCAGTGTCAGTCGCTGTCACAGTGCGTCTGGGTAGTGGAGCCGGCACGGCATGCCGGGGATTGAACCCGGCCACTGCACGCCGGGGATTGAACCCGGCCACTGCACTCTGCCTAAGCAGGCGCTTTAATCCGCTGAGCTATCTCGCCAGCCCTTCCCCTCCTTATTTAAGGAGGTTCAGCGACCATCTTTTCCTTCTATTTTTTTCCGTTTTCCTTCTATTCTTTTTTCCTCGTCCCTTCTTTTACTTCCCCCTCCCCCTACCTTTTTCCCTTTCTCATCCGAACGTCATCTATGCATTCCCTAATATCTGTTATACATTTTGGTCCTTATACACACTTCGAGTTTCTCACACCAGAGATGTGGTCTGTAAACACATGAGTCTGATTTATTTCACTTAAGAATGGTTTCGAGGTGCACCCATTTACCTAAAACTATCTCAAGCTCATCTGTCTTTATGGCAGAGGAATACTCCATTGTATTAAAAAAAAAAAAAATCCATCCTTTTCTCCCTTCATGTGTCGATGGGCATTTGGGCTGTTTCCAGGATGTGGGCTATAAGCGTGGAGTGCGCGTGCCGCTGTGCTGTGGTGCTTTTCATGCTTCTGGGACGATACTATGAAGAGCAATAGCTGGCTCCTAGGGAGGCTCTAGTCTGAGTGTTTTGAAGAATTGCCACACTGATTTCCACGGTGGCAGCGCGAGTCTGCACTCCCAGCAACAGTGCAGACGGTTCCTGTTTCCCCACAGCCCTTCAGGATTTGTCACTGGTTGATTTCTTGATGACAGCTGTTCTTTCCAGGGCGAGATGGCATCTCAGCCTTGTTTCATTCGCATCTCTTGAACGAGCAGTAATGTTGAGCATCTTCCATGCACTGCTGTGCCATTGCCCCTTCTTCCTCTGAGAAGTGCCCATTGTCTCTGCACTCTGTCGTGGCGT